GATTATCTAGTTGAGCAAAAAAGAGGGAAATATTTCCTGAGAAAAACCTGTAAACCACCACTAGAAAAAAAAAAAATCCTGGCAAAAAAATTTGAACAGCCAGTGGTTCTGCATGAACCACTGGCTATGCTCCAAGTCGACAGTAACCATTTATCTTTAACGGATGTAGAAATCCCTCCACTTATAACATGATCACGGGTGTAAAGTGAGCCCTGATATTCATCGAAAACAAATTGATTGCATTGCAAAGATGACACACCAATTTCAGTTAGAACGAAAATATCTATCGACGCGGTAAAGGTATTAATTACTGCACAAAACGCATCCCAGTGTTTACGCAAACTTCGGATATTTACATTAATAAGTGTTAAAGAGTTATTAGATATAATAAGAATATTATTAATAATAATAATAATAAGAAGAAATGATTAATAATATTATACGTCGTTCGCTTTTAGGAAAAAAAAAGACGGAATATTTTCAAAATATTCTCAACGCTGCAAAATCAGAGGCTGCAAAAGCCCGTTCCGGCGTCTCTGTCCAATCGAAAAGCTACTGATGCACTGCGGAACGTACGGGCGTATACGCCTGCCTCAACATGCAGCATCACGCTTGTCGTCCTGATTTCGCTAGCCCGCGCTCCGCGCAACCCTTCAGACGTCTGCCACTTGGCCCTTGGGGTTATTTTGGCCTTTCATGTAGCGCTCCAGGCCATGCACGTCGACAAACACAATTAAATATATTCCTGATCAGGTGGCGCCATCTGTGTTTGTCGTCACGAAATTGTGACTTGTCGTGACTCGATGGGGAAAGTTTGACGCCCTACAATAAAGTAAGCGTGCATCGTATCGAAATGTAATTTTCGTCGAATGCAATATTAAGATACTCTTCGCACTTTAATTTCTCAAAATTCAATTTAGTTCCCAATCATACGTTTTTTATAACACAGAGAAGTAATGATATTTTTAACTTTATTTTTTATTTTGAAACCTGAAGTGTTTACTTAATTAAATAGTTAATTTTTATCACTCTAATGTTCCATAGGTTATGCATATAAATTTTGGTATGAATTAGATAATTATAGCTGGAGAAAATAAATGTTAAAATTTGAAAGTAAGGTCAACTAAAATATTAATGAAAAAGAGTCTGCTAATTATGTCCTTAACTTGCTGACATTAAGTTGTTAATCGATGGCAGCTCTTTAATTTGGTATAAGAGATATAGTTTTACACAACACACATGAAAAGTTTAAGGCGCTCACAGATAAGCAAATGGATATGATAGGTGAGGTTGCACCTTAAAGGACACCATGCAAAGGAAAAATACTTTTTTTACACAGCCTGGATGAAAAAAGAATATAATAAAACAAATTTACAACGAAGAAAAAAATGTAGAGCTGTATTATGGCGCAAAACAAATTTATAGTGTGCACTCGCGGGAGCCGCCGCGGGTCACGTGGTAGACCTGTCGCCGTCGCTCGGCGCCGCTGCCGCCTCAAAGTCACTCCGCCGACGCACGCTGAGCGTAGTGCGCCGCTGTTTCAACGCGTTTCGGCGTTTCTCCACGCCGCCGCCGCCTTGCCGCGCAAGTTTGTCAGCTCCGCGGCGCCGCCGCCGTCATCTGTCCGGCGCAGAGGACTATCACATCTGCTTGCGCTTTTTCAGGAGTTTTCTTTGGGCTCTAAAAGTTACCTATTAATCTTAGTTTTTTGTTATACTTCAAACAAAGATGAATAAGTTACTTTTAGATGCCATACGAAGCTTCCGAAAGAGCGCAAGTGCCACGTGACAAATTGCGGCCAGTCACTTGACAAAAAGAGGCCACTTTTCCTCGGCGCCCGCGGGCGCCAACTACAAATCCATATAGCGTCGTAAATATAGCTCTAAAAACTTTTATTTGTGGTTGAAAATTGGTTTTATGCCTTCCCCTTCCCAACCAGGGCCCGTTTGCTCGGTGCGCTAACCGCGGCTAAAGTTAGCCGCAGTACCTAGGAGAGGGATTTTGAGATCACGTGACTGGCACGGTGGGGATGCGGGGAAACATGGCGGTGCCCCAGTGAGTGAGCGCCGCTCGCTTTGGAACTAATATGTCGTTGCGGTTGCAATATCGGGCGCGTTAGTCAGCAACGAATAATGCAGGAGGCTTTCGCTTTGCCTTACCTCACTTAAATCGCAAAGCATGGGCAATGACATCGCCGCATTTTTTAGATAGTGTTTCAATTCTGGGCATTCCTAAGCCTAAATGAACGTGATAATTGTCGGCATGGTAACGTCTTTGGAAAGCGGATTGTTGATAGCACACAAAAGCAGACAGCGTCCCGACATACTTTTTTTTCTAAATTATCCAAGCATCGCGAGGAGAACGCTGGAAGTTTAATTCTACGGTTCACGCGCGCTGGCCTTCCTCTTATAAAAGATTTGAAGTAAAAAATCATAATAAGGCTTTAACGAACGCGCGTGCAAGGCAAAATTTGTTTTATACATTTTGCTTTAGAACGGTTACTACTGCAGACGCCAGCACGCGCGACGCGTGCAACTACAGTCGTAGCATGCACCTCGGTGCTTGAATAATTTACAAAAAAGATCTGTTGGGACGCCGTTTGCTTTTGTGTGCTATCAACAATCCGCTTTCCAAAGACGTTGCTATGGCGACAATTATCGCGTTCATTTAGGCTTAGGAGTGCCCAGAATCGAAACACTATCTAAAAAATGCGGCTATGTCATTGCCCATGCTTTGCGGTTTAAGTGAGGTAAGGCAAAGCGAAAGCCTCCTGGACCATTCGTTGCTGACTAACGCTCCCGATATTGCAACCACAACGACATATTAGTTCCAAAGCGAGCGGCGCTCACTCACTGGGGCACCGCCATGTTTCCCTGCATCCCTACCGAGCCCAGTCACGTGATCTCAAAATCCCTCTCCTAGGTACTGCGGCTAACTTTAGCCACGGTTAGTGCTTCGGGCAAACGGGCCCAGGCTGTTAAAAATTTTCCTTTGCGCGTGTCCTTTAAAGGGCCTCTGACACGCCAAAAAAATTTTTTTTTAATGCTAGGCGTTGAAATGGCATGTCAGGACGTTACAAAAAAATTGTTTCACTATAGAGGTGCGTATTTTTTTTTTATAAAAAATAGAAATACGAGGCCCATTTCAAAGTTCCCGCCCGTGCACTGTGACGTAACAGTGTACCGCAAGGTGTCGGGGCGGTCAGAAGAGAGGCATCGCCGGAAGTCACGTGAGTTGTATCCCTCCTCGTGCTTACCGCGAACGCGTGTAATATTTTTTAAATATTTTTCTTATTCTCCGCACCTCCACGAGCGATATCCAAACAGACAAGGTTTCTTTTATTTGGTTTTCATCGCTTAATGTTGCCGTAAAGGTAGAAGAAGAGGAGTCAGTGAATTGACGTGATCAATTAAAGTGCCTAGAAGGTGCTGTGTGAGGGACTGTCCCGGTATTTCAGCAACTGAAGAGGAGATCGCACTGCTTGCATTTCCGAGAGACGGTAGGCATCTTCAGCCTGGAGAGTATACGATGATTCGACGACCTCGGTGTCCGAAGCTTCAACAAGGCAATTGGACGTGTCGTACGCAAGCAATCCTAATTTCTGCGAGCGTTATAAAATTTTTTTTTTCAAAACTTGTTAGCTTTTTTTGTGCTCAGTATTGCTCTGTATCATCGGACTGACGGCATGCACTCGTAGACTGGCTTGTACTCGCAACGCTTTCATCATTGACCTCCATCACGTCGATCCACTGACTCTTCGTCCTCAACTTTTACAGCACGCAAACTAACCAACGGTGCAGCGATAAAGAGCTAGTGGAACCGAAACTTCGTTTTCTACAATCGCTCGTACAAAGAGCAGAAAAAAAAAAAATCATAGGCACGGTCGCGGAGAGCACGAGGAGTGAAACTCACGTGACTTCCTGCGAACCCACTTTTCGTGACTTAGGTCGATGCCTTCCTTCTGACCGCCCCGACAGCTTGCGGTACACTGTTACGTCACAGTGCACTGGCGGGAACTTGGAATTGGGCCTCCTATTTCTATTTTTTTTTATCAAAGAACTAAGCATCTCTATAGTAAAACAATTTTTTTGTAATATCCTGACATGCCATTTCAACGCCTAGCAGGAAAAACAAATTTTTTTGGCGTGTCAGAGGCCCTAAGGGTGTACGCAGCATAGCTCCGGAATATTTAGGTTTCAGAGGATACATAGTGGGCATTATCAAACCTGCGATAACCCCATGTCGTGCCGGCGTTCACAAAAGTTCCTGTCATTGCACGGATTGTTACCGTCTCGATCGTGGTATGAAAGCGAAGAATAACAAGCAATAACGAAGCTATAGCGAAACTATAATGACGATTGACTTTGCACCGCGTGATTTGTACTGCCTGGTCGTCTTTTGCGCATTCTAGCTCATATCGCTAGCTACCTTACACGTTCATATCCTAGCGCCATGGTTCATTGCCAGAACCTAAGTTGTCCTACCGGTTTTAACAATGCGGTGATGGGGCCACCACATTTACCCCTGATTGGTTGATTGCACTGGAGCGTTGAGAGCATTGACGCCGCTTGTTCACGACCCGAGATTGGTAGGGAAATGTAGACAAGCTTGATCATAATGACAAAGACCGAGGCGCACAAAATATTTTGATCACAGACTACGACCTCGCATATCCATCTGGCACAAAGTGACGTCACGTTAATTAAGGTCACATGACGCTGTCGCGTGTTGTCAATTTCTACGCTGAATTTAGTGGGCAAATTGACGTCACGTGACAAACTTTTCCGCTAAATTTTCCGGTGAAATTAACGTGACGGTTCTTCGTGACAGTTGTCTTGTGAAACTCGGCCAATAAAACAGATTACGTATTAAAATTAGGTTGCTAGAATAGGTCTAAAAGTATTACGATGCGTGTTGTTATTTAATAAAATACATGTATTTGCGTGCCTTGTGGCGCGATTGGCATTAGCAACAATTCCCTTACCAATGCTCGTGCGCAGGATCGTGCCCACGTCAAGGTTGGTAGAAGTCCGCCAGGAAATCGGAGTCCAGTTGGGTCACGAGGTCGTGCCCGACAATTACGTCTTCCTCAAGAGCGTCGGCAGGAATTTCACGCAGGTAAGAGATTTGATGGTAATGGCAGTTCTGTGCCACCAGGTGAAGGTCCGCTACTACCTCCATGCTACGCTTGACGCAAACCACGACTCTGTTGGTGACGAAATTATTTGGTTCGGTATTATTGATTGTCAGCGACAATTTCGTTGGTGTGTGTAATAAGCACGGTGGAAGCTTGTAGTCATCTTGTTCTTAAACCAATACCGTCGGAGTTGTCAGTCCAAAGTTCCTCTTAGTTTCATTAATAAAATTAGAATTCATCATACTCCGGGGGGTAATAGAGAACGTTTGACCAATCGTTGAACGCCTACCACAGTAACGCTTTTTTTTTGGTCGCGTACAAAGCGCGACACTGTCAGCGCGAACAAGCGATCGCCGGTTTTTCTAGTTTTTCTCTTTGAAACCAAATGATGTCATCCAAGTTATTATTGTTACGGAAAGAGCTCATTTAGTTCTATAATTTAAGGCTGCGGTCCCACAGCAGCCATCTTGAACAAGGCGTTAGTTCAACCAATAGATGGCGACACGCACCCGTGGGGTGGCCGAAACATTGGATCACAGTGGGATGGCTCGAGCACCATCACGTTCCCCTCGTGGCCTTGCTCGCGCCGCTGCCAGCTGTGCTCAGATAGCTCAAGTAGCGTGGCCCAGCAAACGGATGTATGCGAGAATGTGAGGCTGGGTATAAATTGTTCTCTGATATAGGGAGATGCGGCTCGGCGGTTGTAACGGGCTTTCGCAATAAATCTTACCAAGAAGGAATCAAATGTTGATTGACGTGTGAATATTCTATCAATAAAAATTTCCTCTGCAGGAATGCACGCTCAGTAGACTCGACCAGGGGAAACGGACGTCAAGTAAACTGCTTCGCGATTTACGGTACTTACCTCATCATTTTATCGACGACTAAAATAATGTCACGAAATATTGTGTTTCACGGGGTCCGGAAGATGTTGTAAAGGTTGTTACATTATAGTTCCCTGAAAACAAACGCCGTTGCAATATTTTCGGAAGTACCGACACATATAATGTTGTAAGCACAGCTTAGGAAAACCGTCAGAAGAAATAGGAAGACGTTTATTTGCAATGAAGACGCTATGAATGAACGGCGTTTAGCGACGCCAAGTTATGAGCGTTCGGGAATTTATAAGTTGACGTGATTGCTGACTATGGACATGCGAACAATGAAGGCCAGTTTTGTCGGGAGATGGTGTTGCGGTGATGACCTGATATCGGACAACTCATGGCAGACGAACCAGCAAGTTTCTTCTCAGCGAATGGTAAGTGTCCAGTGTCAAGCACAACACGTGGCTACCAACGTTGTCGACATTTCGAACACTTGCCGCTTTCGACAAAAGTCCTGGTACCTGGGCTAACTTTGTGGAAAGACTCGAAGTCTTCCTTGAATCCAACGCCATCATGAACAGTAACTAAAAACGATCCACTATTCAGTCGGTGGGTGGCGAAACGTATCCATCTACGGAGTCATGGGCGATGTGTGCTCTAAGTGGCTGTAAGTCTACACGATGCCTGCCACGACGTCCAAACACGTCATTGACGTTCTACGGTCTCTTTACCTACTTTTGCCCTACCGAAAATACTTTTCTCTAACAACGCGCAAAATTTTGCTTCAAATAAAATAAACAAGGTTTTGAAGAAAAAAAAACCGGCATGAGGCATCACATTAGTGCACCATACCATCCTGCAACTAACGGGCAAGCAGAGCAGATGGTGTGCAAAACGAAAAAAAGCCCTTTTGAAGCTTACGGAAGAAGCAGTTCAGTGAAGAATCGCCAGGTTCTTGTTCCGGCAGCACGCGACGGTCTCATCTTACACGAAAAAAAAACCCGCCGAAGCAATATTCGGCGGACGAAGAGCCACACCCCTCGATCTCATATTACTGTAGCCTACGAACAAAGATCGAGAGATTCCCAGATAGAGAGTAATGGCAGTTTAATCGGTCGGACAACTCGTCTACGTGAGGAATTTCAGCGGAAGTGGGGCCTTCCATGTAAAACTTGAGTAGAAAAGGCTCTATGTTGGTTGACCAGGAGGTGTCATCTCTCTGAATACGTTGGATATCAATGACCTTCAGTGTAAATATAACTAAATCACAAAACTCTCTTTGTGTATTGTTTAACTGCCCTTGTATTTGATAGTAGAAGCTATTGTGGTGATATGGACCTTTCGCACCAGGCTCCTTTTTCTTATTTTTCGCCTCAGACTCCTTTGCGGTTTAAGTATGCTTCAAGAATCTTTTGGAACGGGGACACTTTACGTCAACGAGGCCATTTGTTCTAAGTAGTCAATCAGGGAATGCTGCTAGAAATCCGTCCCTCATATTAACAAATAAGCCGCACTTTTGCACAGTGCAGTTGTCCTGTTCAACGTACAGTTGTAAAGCAGCATCCTCGTTGATTCTACCTTATACTGTTGCAGGTGAAGAAAGTCTTTGGGTACACGATACTTGAAAAAAGTCTGGCACTGTACGTTGTGGTTCGACACCCACTAATGTCGCCGTCCTTATGGTGCCTCATCAATTTATAATTACCTCGTCACCTCATATTGCTCTTCATCAACAGTAAGTACAATAGGCTACCGCCGTATTACAATCCAAGAATTGAAAAATTTAGTCGTTCAGTCCTTCAAATTTATTATTTATACATTGTTATTACGTTTCATTACCTCGAGACGATCGACGTCCATCGTCGATCTTCAAATACTTATACCTGTATATAAATTAGACGCACAAGAAGGGGCAGGGGGGGGGGGGGTCGGTGGCCGAGTGCATGGTCTAGCGCACACCAGCTCGGAGCACTTGGAGCGAAAGCTCGCGCTGCAGAACCCACCCCGCCCCTGCCCGTTTCGATCTGGATGAGCATCGTACCGGCGTGCGGTCGTGTATCACTACTGCGTGGTGCACGTTAAAGACCCCAGGTTTGCGGCTGTACCGCACTGGCTAAATTGTTCATCTAAAGCTGAGACGCCAGACGCCCACTAAGGCAGACTAACTTCCGGCTGTATAAACCTACACACAACAATTTGCAATTAGACGCATAATAACAAAGAACACAGCGTGCCGCATCTTTTCTTTTGGTGCCTTTTTTTTTTTTTTTTTAACCAGCGCAAGCTCGTGCGTTCTTTCTTTTGAGACGGTTACCGCTCATTCACACTGGAAGCGGATCCGCGTTCGCAAAGCGGTTGCGAACGCGGTTGTATAAAGATCCAGTACAATTGCACGCGCACTCGATGACGTCGAGTGCGCGTGCAGTTGTACTGGACCTTTATACAACTGCGTTCGCAAAGCGGTTGCGAGCGCGGTTGTATAAAGGTCCAGTACAACTGCACGCGCACTCGACGTTACCGCTCATTCACACTGGAAGCGGATCCGCGTTCGCAAAGCGGTTGCGAACGCGGTTGTAAAAAGATCCAGTACAATTGCACGCGCACTCGATGACGTCGAGTGCGCGTGCAGTTGTACTGGACCTTTATACAACCGCGTTCGCAAAGCGGTTGCGAGCGCGGTTGTATAAAGGTCCAGTACAACTGCACGCGCACTCGACGTTACCGCTCATTCACACTGGAAGCGGATCCGCGTTCGCAAAGCGGTTGCGAGCGCGGTTGTATAAAGGTCCAGTACAACTGCACGCGCACTCGACGTCATCGAGTGCGCGTGCAATTGTACTGGATCTTTATACAACCGCGTTCGCAACCGCTTTGCGAACGCGGATCCGCTTCCAGTGTACGGTCGCACATAAAACCCGCGTTTCTCCTACCCGCCCGCTTCCTCCTCTCATTATGTGTATTTTGTTATAACTAAATAAGCTATAATGATGGTGTATTATTCATATTTACTTTCAGTTTCAGTCAGGGAAAAAGAGTTTCGCGGAAACTAGAGCCAATAAATGAGCTGCGCTTAGAGTATCGGCACTCCCTTCCCCGATAGTGTTGTGAACGCCGCCATTTTGGTGCTTGTGCAGAGCAGGCGCAACTGCCGATCGTCATGATTCAAAAGTGCGACATCGTCAGCATTAGATTCGGTGTTAGGAAGCTCATGTAATGTTGCTTTGCTTTTGTCGAAAACTGTTTAAAGTGGAGGACGGAAAAGCGTTTCTTGTGATTTTAGATAAAGCTTCAAATAACTGGCAACCATGATTGTAAGCCACAATAAGGCCAAGTGTCGCTACTCTGAAGCGTAGCTTATGTAATGACACTATTCATGCTCTTGTTCAAGAAGCTTGTAATACCTGGAGGGGCCATGACGTAAGCACCGTGGATTCCACAAGCCACTACCTTTTGACACCTGCCTCTTCTTCATTGTTCCCGCTTGTGCCAGTAAATAAGCTGCGGTTCCGAGTAACGACACTTGGCTTAAAATTGTGGCTTAAAATCATGGTTGCCAGTTATATGGAGCTTTATCTAAAATCACAGGAAACGCTTTTCCGTCCCTCACAAATGTTTAAACAACCCGCGACAGAGCATTTCAATATTGCATCAGCTTCCTAGCACCGCATCTAATGCTGAGGAAATCGTACTTTTGGATCATGATGATCGGCAGGTGCGTTTGCTCTGAGCAAGACCCAAAATGGCGGCGCCCAAACCAATTTTGGGGAACTGAGTGCCGATACTTTAAAGCTCATGTAGTGACTCTAGGCATAAAGTGAACTCGGGTGTATTATTTTCCTCTTCGTCTTTATTGTTTATTGATTTCAATCATATCGAATAATGAACGCATTATATCACGCTACGCTTGTGTAATTATTTGTCTTAGATTTATTAGCCTGACCCAAGACTTAAACCATTCATTTATCGATAGTAAATCTTCCAATATATTTTTTAAATGTGAAGGTAAAAAGACACGGAGATTGATGATGATACAGATGCCAACGCCGCCCTCGGAAATTTTTTGAACACTAGAAATCAGCAGTTTGTCTGCCATCCGCCAGGTAGCGCAACAAAACACCCAAACAGTTTTTAATTGGTTTTAAAATTAGCTAAGCTCT